TATCCCCCCTTCTGCATTTGTGATCATCCAGTGAAAGTTACCCCCCCCCCCCCCCCCCCCATTGGTGGCCATGGGAGTGGTGGTTGAGGTTAATATTACTGATGCAATAATAACCCTTAACCCCAATGTTAAGGGTTATTATTGCATCCACTGACACCCATACTGGGGGTTATTATTGCTTCCACAGACACCAATCCAGGGGGTTATTAGTGCATTCAGTGACACCAGTGTTGGGGTTTATTATTGCGTCTATTGACACCAATGCTGGGGGTTATTACTGCATCCACTGAATCCAGTGCTGGGGGATATTTTTGCATCCACTGACTGCACCATTTGGGGTTATTATTGTGTCCACAGACACATAATCTAGGGATTATTAATGTGTCCATTGATGACAATACTTGGGGTTATTATTGTGTCCACTGACACATAATCTAGGGATTATTAATGTGTCCATTGATGACAATACTTGGGGTTATTATTGTGTCCACTGACACATAATCTAGGGATTATTAATGTGTCCATTGATGACAATACTTGGGGTTATTATTGTGTCCACTGACACAAAATCTAGGGATTATTAATGTGTCCATTGATGACAATACTTGGGGTTATTATTGTGTCCACTGACACATAATCTAGGGATTATTAATGTGTCCATTGATGACAATACTTAGGGTTATTATTGTGTCCACTGACACTAGCGCTGGGGGTTATTATGGAATCCACTGACATCAATGCTGCTGGTTATTAATGCGCCCACTGACAATTGCACGGAGAGGTATTATTGCATCCACTGACACCAATGCTTAGGGTTATTACTGCATCCAATAATATCAATGTTGGGGGTTATTATTGCAGCCACTGACACTGATGTTGGGGGTTATTATTGTTTCCACTGTCACCATACTGGGGGTTATTTTTACATCCACTGACACCAATCCTCAGGGTTATTAATGTGTCTATTGACACTAGCACTGGAGTTTTTATGGCATCCATTGACACCAATGCTGGAGGTTATTCTTGCATCCACTGACTCCAATGCTGGGGGTTATTATTGCATCCACTTACACCAATATTGGGTGGTATTATAGCATCCATTGACACCAGTGTTGTTACTCAGGGGCAATTTAAAGAAAAATTCCAGGTATGGATATTTTATATAGAGTTATATTGTTCCAGCTTGGAGCAATGTACATTGTAACTACCTAAATACCATATCTGACCAAAGCCCCTGGAAGCTGGGAATCACTGAAACAAACACCGATACTCCAGTGATCTCCACTTGCGCTGAGCGGATGCCCTGCTGCATTGGTGTCACACCTCCCAACCTTATCTGATCAGCTACTGCTTTCCATTCATTTTGAAAATGCAAAGCACCCAGGATTGGCCATCAGGGGTTTAACTGCTGGGCCAGAGGATCGTGTGGACAACAGGTTTGAGAGGGAGTCCCAGAGCACTGCTGGCTACCTCAAGCCTGGTTAGAACAGAGAGTGTGAGATTGATCGCTGTCGATGTGGTGAGTAGCCTTTGGCCACGCTTATTTGTTTTATACTTATTTGCTGTCACAGGGATTTGCTGCTACCAGTAGAGTTCTGCTTAATGGGAAATGCATATTCTAAACCAGGGCTTAAAATTTCAAGCCCTGAGCTACTCCATGCCTTAAGAATTACTCGCCACCAACAAACACACACAAACAGAGAAACCTGTACACACACACAGACATGTACATACACACATACACACACAGAGACACATGTACACACACGCACAGAGAAACATGTACACACACGCACAGAGAAACATGTACACACACATACAGACACATACAGACACGCATGCATACAGATACATGTACATACACAGAAATACACACGCACAGACACATGCACACACACACAGACACATGTACATACATACACAGACACATGTACATCATTGGTGTCAGTGTGGGGGGGGGAATAGTGCCCCATCATTGGTGTCAGTGGGGGGGGGGAATAGTGACCCATCATTGGTGTCAGTGGGGGGGGGGAAATTAGTGACCCATCATTGGTGTCAGTGGGGGGGAGGGTATAGTGCCCCATCATTGGTGTCAGTGGGGGGGAGGAATAGTGCCCCATCATTGGTGTCAGTGAGGGGAGGAATAGTGCCCCATCATTGGTGTCAGTGGGGGGAGAAATACTGCCCCGTCATTGGTGTCAGTGGGGGGAGGAATAGTGCCCCATCGTTGGTGTCAGTGGGGGGAGGAATAATGCCCCATTGTTGGTGTCAGTGGGGGGGAAATAGAGCCTCATCAGTGGTGTTAGTGAGAGGAATAGTGCCCCATCATTGGTATCAGTGACACCAATGATGGGGCACTATTCCTCCCACTGACACCAATGATACTTACTTTGCTGACCCCTGCTCCAGCCTGGGCTTGCTCCCTCCCTCTCCCATCCACAGCCAGCATACCTGGCTGCAGCAGCAGCACCATCTGCGTGGCACAGACACTTACCAGTCATCTCTCTTCCTTCTCCGGTCGCTCTCCTCTTCACTTGTGCCGGCTGCTCCCTTACTTCTTTGATCTTCGCGCTGCTGCTCGGCTCCTCCTCTCCAAGCTCCGCCTCCTCACCGGTGATTGACCGCGTGTGTGCCTTTCCTGAGCTACAGTTCCGGTGGCCAATCATCGGCAAGGAGGCAGAGCTTGCACAGGGAGGGACAAGCTGCCATAGGCTGTTGAGTGATCTCAGGGGTGTGGCAAGATGACAGGGGCGGCATGTCATCCCGCCCACACATCGCGATCCAGGGAAATGAAGACACTGGACCCGTTGACAACCTCCCTACCCCTCAAACAGCAGCACCTCATGGACCGGATCGACATGGGACTGGGACACAGAGTCGCGGACCTAGGTAAGACACAGCAGCCCGCCCCTGTACTAAGTGTCTTTTCCGTGGGAAAGAGGGGGGGTGGCATTGCCACTGCGCCACCCCCTTAAAAAGTGCTGCCCTAGGCAAACGCCTTGCTTGCCTCATGGCAAATATGCCCCTGGGGGACACACTCGCCCCCACCAGAATTTCCACTCAACATTGGCGAGCAGGCGAGTGGAAATTTCAAGGCCTGTGCTAGACTGTATATGACATACATAGTCTGCAAGTTTTGGATCTTTGTGGTCTCTGTTTTGTTTGTTTACCATTCTTTTATTCTGTTTATCTGTGTATCCACGTTGTTCCATTTATGTGTAATCCTGCTGTTGCAGTAATGTCATTGTGGATTCTGTAAGTACTGTTTCATTTTCTCTATTTCTCTATTATCTTGACAATAAAACTTGTTTGGATTAAAAAAAAAAATTGTGTCTGCCTGTGGAACGATGCCAAATTATGGTATCTAAAAATCTCCATAGGTAATGCTTTAAAAGTCTTTACAAGTTACTAGTTTAGAGATATAGAGGAGGTCTAACTCTAAAATTATTAATCATTACTACAGGGGTGCTTTCATTTTTTTTTTTATTTAAAATGTTTTATTTTTTTGTGATCAACTTTATTGCTATTACAAGGGATGAACAATATCCCCTGTAATAGCATGGGCCATGGCAAGTCCTCAGTCCTTTGGCCTCCAATGCAACCGTTCAGACACAGACCAGTCTGATTGGCTGCTTCCCTGGCCAGTAAGGACCAAGTGAACAAAGGACTGAAACAGGAAATGACTAAATCCTTGTTGCTTCCTGTTTCTGATGTCACACAATGGGAGGAACGACATCCATTCCTTTCACTGTGTGCCTAGAGCTGGATGCCACCGGACATGTCCTTGCCTGGCCCTTTGATCTCATGGGAGAGCCCGGTAAATGCTGCGGCGTCATGAGGGAGGGTGGGTTTTACCCCCTTCTGCCACCTGTAAAAGTAATCCAGCAGCTCATTAGCTGCTCCAATCTCTTTTATTATATAGGAAATCTCTGGGGCTATAATAAGATACCTTGATCATTGCTGGAGCTCTGCCATCCTGTCCAAGGATGTTTATAAACGTACGTCCGACGGGAAGTGGTTAAAGATAAATTCCAGGTAAGGATATTTTCACAAAGTTACATTACTCCAGCTTGGACCAATATAATACGCACATACCATAATTAGGGGATCCTCTTGGAAGTTGGTCATCACTGCACTTTGGTGCATTTAGGCCTATTCCCCAAAGGGGAACTGAGCGATGTAGAAGGTAGTGGGAGTTTCTTTTTTTTACAGCACTGCTGAACCAGGGATGAGAGACTAGTATTTCCATTGCTTTCCACTCCTTCATTTTGAACATTGCCCCCCTATACCTCATTTCTCTTTTGTTGTCACACTTTCAATCTTTCGGATCCTACTGGGGTCTGTACAAGAGGCTTCCCCTCTATGCACTGACCACAGGAAGAAGCTCATTTGGCACTGCGGCCATTCATATATTACCTCTTATTTTTTCATTGACTATATGGGATTTTTTGATTGGACGAAGTGGAGTGGAGAGATGGTAATGTCACAAACTCCACCTTGTTCAATCAGAGAATGCCTTGTATAATTAAAGAAACACAGGTTGTTCTATGAATGGCAGAAGTGCTGAGTGAGCAACCTCCTGTAGTGTCATTGTGCAGAGGGGAACTGCGTGCAGTGAACAGGACTCGAAAGATCGCAGTTATCACTGTAGTAGTACCAACTATTGCAGTCATTTTCAGCTTTCCCAGCAGTCCTTCAGGTATGAAATATACATACTTACACTGTGCTAAGCTAGGCCAATAAAAGTATACAATACATAATTCATGGAGTTCAGTTTTTACATTAAAAAAAGGGCTGACATTAGGTCCACTTTGACTGCAGTTTAGTCTGCAGAGAGGTTCCGGAACTGGCTGTACAGTGTTGCAGGATGTTGGGATCAGAAGAATTCAATTATAAATCTTTTGGCTAGTTTAGCCATTCACATGTAAGAATTTTATTTAAAGTGGTAGCAAACAGCGCTTGGACACTTGTGCCTACAGATAAGCCTATAGTACCTGTAGGTACAAGGAATATCTACAAAACCTGCACCGTTTAGGAAATATTCAGTGTTTCTGCAGCTGGTGATGTCATGGTGCATAGGCTATGAAAGGACGGCACCAGGGGCAGACTGACAACTCATGGGGCCCTCGGGCAATAGGGGATCATGCGGCCCCTGTATCCTTGCTCAAACTCAAAAAAGCCTATGAAAAAGGTACCAGGGGCATCTCATGGGGCCCCCTACTGACCCCGGGCCCTCAGGCAGTGCCCAAGTTTCCAAATGGTCAGTCCGCCCCTGGACGGCATACTTATGACTCCTGAGCACATGCATGGGAGTGACATATACACGGCTCGGGCATTCAAGCATCTGGAGCCTGTGAACCCGGAAGGAGAACCGGGTGAAGATGGAAGCCCTGTTAGTGGTGACAGTGCTTTGCTGGAAGACCTAATTTTAAGGAAAGTATCTCATAATGTGCTAGTATGCCATGTGTAGCACTACCTCCTTAAGATTCTCTAGAAGATTTGGGTCCCCCTGCAGTCCTGCACAGCCAAGCAACATGCATCTTCTCACAGGCTTGCATCCAGAGTCAGAGATCAGTCCTTGAGCTTTGGTTTTGTTGTTTTATTTAGGGGATTTAGGGAACATGGATAGGGTTAGGGGTGTACAGGATGTCCAATGAAATGAGCCTTATCTGCAGCACAGCCTTTGTTGGAGAGCTAGCCAGCGTCTCTTTAATGTACCACCCCAGACCCTAGATGAACTTCTCTTCGCCCAGCAATCTGGAGGTATCCCTGAATGGGGGATCTGGTTCCTGTCAATTTAACAGTCAGCGGCAGGTGGCAAATCTAGTTTCCCTCCAGAGCGCTCCTTCCCCTATCCACCCAGGGGGTGCAGGTGTACTCACTCAGATGCTCTCCTGTTTCACTGGTGGGTTGGTGGCTGCTACCAGGCCTATCAGCTAGGCCACTCCTTCCCTGCCATACAGGTGGTCCTCTCTCAGGGGGCCAGAGATCCCTGAGCTTTCCTCATTTCCCGCTGCAGGCCTGCAGGTAGGCTCCATCCCACGGGGCCTCCTCGCAGCCTCCTCCCTTAAGCCTCACATCTTCCTCTCTTTCTTCCACCTGAACTCTCTTGTAACTGAGCAGGCTTCAACAAATTTAAGAGTGTCCTGGCCCCTTTCCAACCTCCTGTTGGGGATTGGCCAGGATCCATCAAGAGTGCAAGCCAGCCACTTCTCAGATACACCCACTGCCTCTAGGACATTCCTCCAAAGCCCTAGAACAGGGGGAAATTCAAGAGGGGCCGGCCTGCAGAGCCTCTCAGCTTCTGACCACAATTTGACCTTCTGGCTATTACACCCAGGCTGCTACTGAGCCTTCCTCACTGACAGTCAGAACTCTAGCTCCCCCTAGCTAAACTAGGAGGGTGCTACACATGTATAGTAGCACATTATGAAATTGTCTTGCAGGGGGGCCAGATTTTTTTTTTTGCATTACTACCATTTCAAGTATTAGCTTGTCTATTGTGCAGCTTTACTTCACTGTGAAAGTAAAGTCACATTTGCAAAATAGCTGTATACAGAAATTTCCATGTTTTTCAGGTACTGATTGGCCAGCAACGCTCTCCCTACAGGTCTCCCATCAGGAGATGCCTTTAAAGTAGATGACTTTGCACATGCAACATCAATGTGCAACAGTGTGATGCCCATCAAATGCAGAAATGTGTGCTTAACTGTTTGGTTCAGTGCTCCCTGTTTAACTCAGCAGTTTTTGAGTGCTTTGCAGGTATGGAAAATACATTCATTTTGGCATCCATGTGAACTTACCCTACAAAATGCAGAGCAAGAGCCATCACTTTTGTACCAGCCAAAATAATTCTTTCAACAAAGTGCTTTACTTTTGGTTGAGTGTTCCTTTTTGTAGATGCAAATTTATTAAACAATCTCCTTATTTCAGTTGTACCCTAGGCAGACGCCTCATTAGCCTACCCTCTGTTCCAGCCCTGGCATTATAAATGTAAGGAAAATAATAAGTTACATATAATGGAATATGGCCTGTAAGAAAGACAATCCATTGTTAGCTCATAGGCTCAGCAAAAACATTATTTTCTATTCTATTTGGCGTGGGAGAAAAGCTTATTGTCTATCCTGATAAGAAAGCAAAGTGCTATTGCATTCCCATATCCCTGCAAAATAAGCAGCCGTGGAAGTAACAGATTGCAAAGCACTGGTAATTTAAAACCCCAGCCAGCTCAGCTGGATTCAGTTGGTGAGAACACATCTATTTTTACTTCTAATTAATGGTGAGACTGCTTAACATATACAGGGTCTTGGTAGTGTTTTTCTGATTTACTGTAAGGCTAGTATTTGGAGTATAAACCAGATTCCCCAGAAGGTGCTCTGTATTGCAAACAGTTACATTCTAATATCGTTTTCACTACAGGTTAAGAAACCAAAACAAAGTGTATCTAAATCCAAGAACTATAATATAATATATTGCAGTGTAGATGAGGAGACTGCATTAGTTTTCTTTTTTCTTGTATTTCAGGCTTTTTTTCCCTCTTTTTTTTAATTTGGTGATCCTACCAAAGACAATTTTCCCATATCTCTCAATTGTCTCTGATGTGGAGGGACTGCCTCTTGCAGCCTCAGTTGTCCCTCTTTTTTGGTCTGATGTGGACAACTCTATACAAATGTGCCATTTTATTACATAAATGTGTTATACTGCACTAAATCTTTTACCCAACCTACATAGTATTACATTTGTTATTCTGAAAAGCCAATATAAAGAGAGAGTAAAGAAAGAATAGAGATAAAAAAAGCACTTGTTTGGTTTAGCCAATCATTTCTGCATCTTAGATCTATGTGATCCGTGTAACTGGGGCTCTGGCAGGGACATATCCTTTGCCTACATACTGTGTGCTAAAAAGTGTCCCTCTTTGGAAAGACTCTTCCTGTCCTAGGATGAAAATAGAGATGTCTCCCTAGGTTGCTCACTCCTGATTTAGACTTCAGAGTTGAGGCATTTTGTAGTTCACAGGCATGAGCTAGGTGGGGCTGATAACACTGCTTAGTATATTTACTAGATTAAAAGGCACCCAGGACCACTTTTGCTACTTAGGCCGGCCATACATGGGTCGATTTTTGAATGATTGTTCTATCAAAAATCAGACCTAAGAATAATCGGCCGATTTTCGCTCTGTTAGCGGGGAAAATGGCAATGGCCGATTTTTGTGGTTCCTCCCCATTTTGTTTATCAGGCATGCTGTAAAATTCGTGAAAAAACGACCAATTTTCAACATCATTGGTGGCACAATCGGATTACAGAATGAACAATGTTTTTGGAATTTGACTCATGTATGGCCTGCTTTAGTGCCACTTTTTAACCACTTCAGGTCTGGACCAGGGGCAGACTGACAACTCATGGGGCCCCCGGGCAATAGGGGATCATGGGGCCCCTGTGTCCTTGCCCAAACTCAAAAAATCCTATGAAAAAGGTACCAGGGGCATCTCACGGGGCTCCCTGCTGACCCCGGGCCCTCAGGCAGTGCCTGAGTTTCCAAATGGTCAGTCCGCCCCTGGTCTGGACATTTTCACCCCCTTCCAGTCCTGGACAATTTTCAGCTTTCAGTGCTGTCACACTTCGAGTGACAATTACTCAGGCATGCAACACTGTGATGGTGCATCATTTGAAATTTGCAGGGCTTTCATTTGGTGGTATTTAATCACCACTGGGGTTTTTTTGCTATATAGATGAAAAAATACTGATAATTAAAAAAAAAAAACATTTTTTGCTTAGTTTTTGCTCTAAAAATGTGCAAATAAATAATCATTCTCTATAAATTTAGGCCAAAATGTACTTTGCTACATTTTTTGGATAAATATAACCCAAAACGGTGTATGTTATTTAGTCTGTGTGAAAGTTATAGTCTACAAACTATGGGATATGTATTTGAAAATTGATCAGTTGAGACCCTAAAATGCCGGACGCTGGTATAACAGTGATCAGGACTCTGGTATGGCAGTGATCACGATGCACGTTTGGGGTATGGCGGTGATCAGGACTCTGGTATGGCAGTGATCACGATGCACGTATGGGGTATGGCGGTGATCAGGACTCTCGTATGGCAATGATCACGATGCAGGTATGGGGTATGGCGGTGATCAGGACACTGGTATGGCATATAGTGGTGATCAAGGTGCTGGTATGGCATATGCTGGTGACCATGGCACTGGTATGGGGTATGGCGGTGATCAGGACATTAGTGTGGCAGTGATCAGGACATTAGTGTGGCAGTGATCAGGATGTTGGTATGGTGTATGATGGTGTTATTGTGAGCACTGTTTGTTATTACTACACTGGGGCAGTGATCAGGGAAAAGGTGCAACTTTATCCCTTTAAAAACCAAACACATATCAATCACACAGATTCTGAGGCTCATTTGTTGCAGATAAGGCCCTATGTGAGTTTAACCACTTGCCCTCCAGAGGATTAACCCCCCTTTCCTGACCAGGCCATTTTTTGCATTACTTTAACCGACAATTGCGCGGTCATGCAATGATGCACCCAAATGAAATTTATGTTCTTTTTCCCACAAATAGAGCTTTCTTTCGGTGGTATTTGATCACCTATGTGTTTTTTATTTTTTGAGCTATAAAAAAAAAGACCGACAATTTTGAGAAAAAAAACCAATATTTTTGACTTTTTGCTATTAAACATGTCCAGTAAAAAAATTTTAAAAATATAATTTTTCATACATTTTTTGTTTACAAACGTTTTTATTAAGAGGCAACAAAAACAGTGTAAACTCTTGAGGTAAAATACACCCCAAGAAAAAGGCACATAGGTAATGAACAGTATTATAAAATACAATCATAGAAATATATAAATGCGAGTACATGAATGAGGCAGTCAGAAAGAAATATAGAACAACCAAATTGTTTACAAAGACTCAAAGCACTTCAATCCATGATAGACCATCAATCAAACAATAAATGTCGATGTGTTTTCCAGCAGTCCCATTTTCTGTTGAATAAGTGCATCCTATCCAGTAATGTATAATGTATACGCTCCATGAGCATAACCATGTCAAAATTTCACCATAAATTTAGGCCAAAATGTATTCTGCTACATATCATTTCTAAGAAAAATCCCAATATGTGTAAATAAATTGGTTTGTGTGAAAGTTATAGCATTTACAAATGGTGGTATATATACTGGGTATTTTTTTTTTTTTACTAGTAATAGCGGCGATCAGCGATTTATAGCAGGTTTGTGGGACTGCGGTAGGCATTCTGACACTGGGGGGATCT